ATAAATATATACATATATCTATATACAGCTATGTGTATAATATGTAAAAATTCTCCTAAAACACATGAGTAATGAAACTAGATATACTCCCCCATGCGCCAAAAAAATTCTCTTGCCAAAAGAGGGGGCAAAGGTTAAGCTCTGCTTAATTTGATTCAAATGTGCTTATAACAATTTAAGAATAATCGAATTTAGAACAATGGCTACCTAGTAGGGACAGGAAGGCTGATGATGAGAGAGAAGTAGAGGTTTCAACTGTACCGGTAATGTTTATTTCTGAATCTCTGCGTGGATCCACATATGTTTACTACATTAGTCTTTAAAACTCTTTAATTATCACAAATATTTTGTTAAAAAGGATTTTAACAGAAATCACTAGTAGAAGGGAAATAGGTATAGTATTTTCAAAAAAGGAAATCCAGAAAACAAAGTGGGAGAGGTTACTGGACAGGACAGAATACAAGAAAGCACAATAAACAAAAAACATTATGATGGTGAGTGAAAAAAAATCAATGATCACACACACAAAAAAAATCAAAATGACAAAAATTCCTCTATTAAATGCTAAAGATTCTCAAATTCTGTTAAAAGTCCGTATCTAGGGCGCCTGGGTGGCTCAGTTGGTTAAGCGACTGCCTTCGGCTCAGGTCGTGATCCTGGAGTCCCAGGATTGAGTCCCACATCGGGCTCCCTGCTCAGCGGGGGGTCTGCTTCTCCCTCTGATCCTCTTCCCTCTCGTGTTCTCTGTCTCTCATTCTCTCTCTCTCAAATAAATAAATAAAATCTTTTTAAAAAGTCCATATCTAATTTATAAAATTCTTACCCAAAGCAAAATAACAGAGAAAGAGCAAGAATGGATGTTGAATGTTTTCACATGGCTTTTAAATATCCACTGAGATGATTATAGATGATTGTTTTTCTCCTTCAACCTATAGTCTACTATTTTTACTTTGGGAAATGAATGATTTAAGGCTTTCTTTATGGCATAACATTGGACCAATTCTTTTTTTTTTTTTTTTAAGTAGTTTCCACACCCAATGTGAAACTCACAACCTTGAGATCAAGAGCCCTATGCTCTACCAAGCCAGCCAGGTGCCCCAACACTGGACCAATTCTTACAAATGTTACAAGCATGTTTGGAAAGAATATGTATTCTCTGTAGGGTGCAAAGTTCCTTGTGCATCTGTTATATCAAGCTTGTGTGTTATTTAAATCCTTCTCTGTATCTTTACCTATTTTAACAAGATAGGATTAGAAGGAAATAACATTTGGTAAAATATAAGCATGTTTGTCTATGTATACATCAGCTCTGAAAGGAAATGGAAGTAACTCGAAAAATGCTAATTCCAAGGAGGAAATAAGGGAGGGAACAAGATGTTTGTTTTTATACTTTTTGAATTATGAACTTGTGACATCATACATTCAAAAAAACTATAAATAAAAATATAAAAGCAATAAAATTAAAAGTAGGGGCGCCTGGGTGGCTCGATTGGTTAAGTGTCTGCCTTTGACTCAGGTCATAATCCCAGGGTCCTGGGATTGAGCCCCACGTCAGCTCCCTGCTCAGTAGGGAGTTTGCTCACCCTCTCCCTCTGCTGCTCCCACAGCTTGTGCTCTCTCCCCCCTCTCTCTCAAGTAAAACAAATAAAAAATCTTTAAAAAAATAAAAGTAAAGATTTTTAAAGAATCCCATTATGATTCACCTACCTATTTTTACATCACATTTGACTGTAAAAAGCTAAATGAGATAAAAGATTTTCAATATATTACAGAAAAAATTATTTATGCAAAGTGGGGGAAAGAAAAATTCTAATTGTACTCCTTGCTTTTCATTTGGCCAGAATAATTTTGCTTCAATATAAAAAATACTTCCTGATGCCTTGGAAGTAAAGTTACACATTTTTTAAAAGAAGCTAAAGTAGAAGTTTTACTCAATAGCACATTTTCATCATCTTTGTGAATATTCATGTTTGAAAAAGCAAAATTTGGGGCGCCTGGGTGGCTTAGTCGGTTAAGTATCCGACTCTTGATTTCGGCTCAGGTCATGATGTGACACTAAGCCCCGCATCAGGCTCTGCGCTCATCACAGAGTCAGCTTGGGATTCTCCCCTTCTGCCCCTCCCCCTGCTCATGATGTCTCTCTCTAAAATAAATAAAATCTTTTTTTTTTAAGATTTTATTTATTTATTTGACAGAGAGAGACACAGCGAGAGAGGGACACAAGCAGGGGAAGTGGGAGAGGGAGAAGCAGGCCTCCCGCTCGCTGACCAGGGAGCCTGATGCAGGGCCCGAACCCAGGACCCTGGGATCACGACCTGAGCCAAAGGCAGATGCCCAACAACTGAGCCACCCAGATGCCCCAATAAGTAAAATCTTTAAAAAATAAAAATAAAAAAGCAAAATTTTACAAACTACCTTATGCATGTATATAAAAAGAGAGGCATCTAGAATAAAATGCCCAAAAACATTTAAAAAGAAAATTAAAAGCCATATATATAATTTTTTTGGCTTATATATTTTAAAGATACATGAAACTCCATATACTACACCAATAGTTCATCATTTCACTCCAGGAATTCCATTTCAAATTTTGCATGTCTTGTAGGGTAACACTGTAACCCATGGCATGTAGCCCCGTAGAGCATGAAATCTAATGTGAATATGTAATCTACTGACTACAAATCAGGAAACAAAACAACATAAACCAGCATAGGGAGGAGGTTAAAGGAATAAAACAATCCTGCTCAAACATTCCTATGTTGGGTTATGGTAAATACCCTGAGATATAGGGTAATATAATTCATCTGCTTTTTAACCCTTAATTTGGACAATGAAAGAAAATAATTTCCTTCCTTTCCACTTTTATATACTGTCTCAATAAGTTCAAAGGTCTGATTCTATGTATGAGCAGCACACTGTGCTCATTGCTGGACAAAGAAATGGCAGTAATTTTTTTCTTTCAATTTTAACTATACTTACTTAGTATTAAAAATATTGACAAGAAAATGAGCTATAGTTAATATATAACATAAATATTCATTACATTTTTTGAGAAAAATCACATTTTAAAAACACCATTGGAAAAATAATTGATTTTTTTTTTAATTGAAGATAGCTGACACAATGTTACATTAGTTTAGGTGTACAACATAGTGATTTGACAACTCTACACATTATGGAAAAAAAGAACTGGCTCTTATTCACTCTGTAGAACATCTTTCTTATACAGAGATGCTGCATAGGTCATGCAGAGCACACATCATTCCTATCTACTGAAGCATGAACCTATAAAGCAATGGAGTGCTACGAGTTAGTTGCCTTTACCTAATTTCTTTCTTGGTCTCTGTCCACATTAATTTTTTTTCTTTTAAATCTTTTCCCCTCTAATTGAAAAAGTAATATATGTTCAATGGGTATTAATATTATCTTAGGGGGAAAAATTACCTTGAATTTCACCATTGAAAATTAACCACTTAATGTTTGTCTTTCCAGCCTTTTGTCTAAGCATATGTTTATATGCATACATATATGCATATGTTTATAATGCAATATGATTAAACCATTTTATATGTTTCCAGTTATCTAATACATCATGAACATTGTTCCTAGTCAATTAATATTCTTTTTTTTTTTTAAAGTAAGCTCTATGCCCAACATAAAGCTTGAACTCACTAACCCAAAATCAAGAGTCACATGCTGGGGCACCTGGGTGGCTCAGTCC